TGGTACGGTGAGGCATATAATTTGCCTATGAATATATTCTAGATACCTATAGACACATGTCTTAGCTATGACTTTTCTGTGAATATTGAGATTTATTGACTCACGATTAGTCAATATATTAGCAAATATATGCGTACTCGTCATCTCTCCGTAACCATCTCCCGTACCGGCTTGAATATAGACACTCCCTATATGAAATTAGCATGACGACATCAGCGACATCTCACGGGAATAAGGAGGAGAGACTGCACCACAAAACAGCGTTTACCAGTCAATTCGTGATTGTCAGTAAAGTCCCGGTAAAGTCGTACTTTCTATAGTGCGTTAATAATGTTTACTAAGAAGTTGTGGTTGCTACTGATGTATAATCGTTAGTAAATTTTGCTTGCTATAGTTATGTTTACCTTGCTTAGTAGTGATCGATGAGGTACGCGTACCAGACAAAGGGCCTGAAACACGCGTAATCGGGTTACTTAATGTTGTGCTATGGCACGACTAATGAGTATCTCCCAGATTTTAAGGACCTTGTTGTCGGTTCAGGCGCACGCTACAGCTAGAAGCCGACATCACTATACTACATATATACAGTCGAGCTATTCATGCAGCATCTCTATCTCTATACTGATTACTGTGTACTGTCGTGATGATATACCGTTGAGCCATGTAGTTTCTCTCGTTACTATCCTTCATTGCTGATTATACCTGTATCACCAANGTGTGTGTGTGTGTGCGTGCGTGCGTGCGTGCGTGCGTGCGTGCGTGCGTGCGTACGTGCGTGCGTGCGTCTGTGTGTGTGTGTAAATAAAAGAAAATGGGCGAATGAAGGTAGAATCCTCGCAAATTCTCGGCAAAATTGAATCTATATATGCTAAAAAGCCACCCTGCGGTAGCACTTCTATATCATCTCATCAGGCCCTCTCATGTCCCAGCCGGAGACAAAGACTATCATGCAGAAGCGGCTTTTTATTAAGTCGACAATTCCTGAATAACAGATGCATGCGGGGTCGTCTATATATATATATATATATATACAAATAAAGTAATCTCNTTCTCCCTCCT